TTTTAGGGTTCAGGGTTCAGGGGTCAAGCTTTCCTGAAGTATTCTTCTGAGAGTACTATAGGGCTCATTTTGGGGTTTTGTGCAAGTTAAAATCTTACTCTAATTATTTTCGCCCCTATGTGAGGGGTTAGAAGCTTGGTATGACGTTATGACGGCCTTCATCAAAGAGGGGCATAAGATTGAAGATAGGGAAGGCCTTCTTGTTTTCAGCGTCTACAGGACCGTACTTGGTAGTTTTTGCAGGTTGGCGTTTTCGAGTAGTATGTGAGTACTAGGTACTTGGGCCCTTAGGCTTTTTCGGGCCTGATAAGGGAACCATGTCCTTTTGGTTAGTTTACTACTGTTGATGAGTTGATGATAGAAATCCTGCATTACCTTAAGGACCCTCAACAATGGGAATTACGGCATTACGATTACGGTATATTCTTTATTATGGGTAATGCAGGGTTTATATCATCAACCGTGGTTTAGTAGTTCAAACAACCCAACGCACTACCTAAACCTGCCAAGCTTACTTTTGTGTGGGGCGGCCCAGCAAACCACTCTTGTCAGCTACGGGCTCAGGGTTTCGTTACGGGGCTTGTTGGTGTAGGGCTTCGGGTAATTAAGCTTTAGTGCAGGTCGGCGGTGGTGATAAATATGGATGTCGTTACCGACCACGGTGACGACGATGAAAGGAATCATATTGATCATGGTTCCTGACCCTAAACCCTGAACCTAAACCCTAAGTCCGAAACCCTGAACCCTAAACCCTCAACCCAAGACCCTAAACCCGCAACCCTAAACCCGTAACAGTGCCCTGTATAGAGCCCTCAAAGAAACCCTTTAGTGGAACCCTAAACCCTTAAAAGCTGAACCCTGAGCCCTAAACCCTAAACCCTCCCTTCAGGAACCCATAAGGGGACTCTTAAAGGTTAAAGTGGACTCTGAGAGGAACCCACAAAGGGACTCTTAAAGGAACTCTTAAGGGGATTCTGAAAGGAACCCTTAAATGAGACTTTTAGAGCAACCCTTAAGGGGACTCTTAAAGGAACCCTTAAAGGGACTCTTAAAGGAACCCTTTAAAAGGGACTCTTAGAGGAACCCTTAAAGGGACTCTTAAAGGAACCCTTCAAGGAGCCCTTCTGTTGCTCTAGGCCTTACCCTACCCCTAAACCCTAAACCCTAAACCCTAAACCCTAAACCCTAAACCCCCAAACCCTAAACCCCCAAACCCTAATGCTCCCTCGAGCCTTGACACCCAGCCCGGCGCTGAATGGCATCAACCTGGCCGTGGAGGTTGGCCCAAACAACCCTAAACCCTAAACCACGGTTTAGGGTTTAGGGTTTGGGGTTTAGGGTTTAGGGTTAGGGTTCAGGGTTAAGGCGTTTAGGGGTTTAGGGTTTAGGGCTTTAGGGCTATTGGGATTAGTGTTTAGGGTGCCCTAGGTTTGGCCTAAATCCTAAACCCTTGTTTTGACTTAAACCCTACCCCAATTCTGGCCTAAACCCTAAACTCTGAACCCCAGTTCTGGCCTCAACCCTAAACCCTAAACCCCCAATTCTGGCCTAAACCCTAAACCCTAAACCCCAGTTCTGGCCTCAACCCTAAACCCTAAACCCTAAATCCTAGTTCTGGCCGCAACCCTAAACCTTAAACCCTAAATCCTAGTTCTGGCCTAAACCTTAAACCCTAAACCCTAAACCCCAGTTCGGGCTCTTCAGGGTTCCCTTTCAAGGGATGCCCCAAAGAGGGACCCTCGGGCTCTTTAGGGTTCCTTTTCAGGGATCCTTTCAAGTGAAGGGATCCTTTAAGGGTTCAGTGTTTAGAGTTTAGGGTTTAGGGTTTAGGGTTTAGAGTTAAGGGTTCAGTGTTTAGGGTTTAGGGTTTAGGGTTTAGGGATCCTTTTTCAAGTGAAGGGATCCCTTTTAAGGGTTCTAAGGAGGAACTATGAGGGTTCCTAGCTGGGATCTCAAAGGTAAGGGATCTTCGGGTTGAGGGTTTGGGGTAAACCCCTAAACCCCATACCCTAAACTAAGGTTCAGGGAATCTCCTTTTTGTCTCAAGGGACCTCTAAAGGGACTGTCCTAAGCGGGGATATTCAGAAGATCTTGACGGTTTAGTTCCTCAGGCTTTGGGGTTGGAGGATCTTTACAGTTTACCTAGACCCCCCCCCCAACTACCCTCTAATCTACCCTACCTTCTAAACCCTAAACCCTCAAACCCTTAACCCTAAACCCTTATCCCTTAAACCCTAAACCCTAAACCCTAAAACCCTTAACCCTAAACCCTTATCCCTCACACCCTAAACCCTAAAAAGTAGCCACGGTGCCACGGTTAAGGACCCTGTGGGGCTCTCTCAAAGGCCTCCTTTTTGGGGGAGATTCCTAGTAGGGCTTCTGGCAGGGCTTCAGGTGTTGAGCTGTATATAAACCCTAAACCCTCAACCCTAAACCCTAAACCCCTAAGCCCTAAACCCTAAACCCTAAACCCTCAACCCTAAACCCTAAACCCTAAACACTAAACCCTAAACCCCAAGCCCTAAAAGCTTTAGGGCAGATTTTTCAGAGAGAACTGCGGAAGCGAGGACTCCGCCGACCAGCTGGTTCAGGGCTTTAGGGCTTGAAGGTTTAGGGGTTTGGGTTTAGTGTTTAGGGTTTAGGGGTTTTGGGTTTTGGGTTTAGGGGTTTAGGGTTTGGGGTTTTGGGTGTGGGGTTTAGGGTGTAGGGTTTTGGGGTTTGGGTGTAGGGTTTTGGGTTTGGGTTTGGGTTTAGGGTGTAGGGTTTTGGGTGTAGGGTTTAGGGGTTTGGGGTTTTGGGTTTTGGGTTTAGGGTTTTAGGGTTTTGGGGTTTTAGGGTTAGGGTTTGGGGTTTAGGGGTTTGGGGTTTAGGGTTTAGGGGAGCTGCAACCCTTCGACATGTCACCCTGGGTCGTCTCGGTGGACGACCCGCATTGGAAGTACCGGCGCCAGCGAGACCGGTTGCAGCACGGGGACAGCAAGGCGGATCCTGAAGACAGAAGGCAGCGGCAAGAAGGGCAACAACCCCGAAGGGTCCATGTACCCAAATAGTATGTTTATATATGTATATATACATTGTCCCTAAAGTACCTATAAAGAGACTACATTAAGGCCAAAGGATATACTATGTGGGTACATGGACCTTCAGGGTATGACGGCTCCACAGATGTGGACGGGGTCAAGCGATGTTGACGATGGCAGCATAATATAGGGGTTATAATAATTACCTATACTATTTTGGGAGTTCCTCATTATAATTACAGCATAATGGCCCCCCCCCAAATCCCTAGTCGAATTATTAAGGCCCTTAATTACTGTAGTATAGGGGTCGATTGTGATAACAATGGGTTCTTGGATGGAATCATGAGCGACTGAAAACCGATATCTATATTCCGTGTCAAGTGCTGTCCAAGCCAAGCCGACATGGGTACTGCAATGTCGGGTGCATGGACGCTAGACCACCGCAGTGATGAACCCCACGTCGTGTTGCTGAATGTGGTTGACAGCTTGTCCTCCGTTCTCCTCACGCGCAATTTGCACGCAGATCGCTCTGGGGCCCAGCCAGCAGGACAGGGTTTACGACTTTTTCCTTGCAAGGGCTACGAACCGACTAATGCGATGGTATGAATAAGCTGAAGCCGGTTTTGTGGGTATTTAAGTACTATGGCAGAGCAAGAAATATGGGGACTATGAGAGGAGATGCGCTAATTTGATGCGTAAGGAGCCTCCTAATATGCAGGGTCAACATTCCGGATCTTGAAACCCAAAACTTAAACCCTCACAACCCCTAAACCCTAAACCCAAAAACCTTAAACCCTGAGCCTGAACCTTAAACCCTAAACCTTAAACCCTAAACCTATTTTGGGCTGCACGGAATGGGAGTATTTCGATGGCTCGGGTTAGGGAGATAGAAAGCCGAAGGGGGGTGGAGGGGCAGTTGTGATGAAGAGTTTCAGTTTACTGGGTTCGAGATTGCGGGTTAGGGTTTAGGGCTTAGGGTTTGGCGCGCCCAAAAAACCCCAACCCTAACCCCGCACCTAAACAACTGCTTGATCGAAAATCCACCCCCTAAACCCTCAAACCCAAACGACCATAAACCCAAACACATCAACGAATCCTAAGGCTTCAACCACAAAGCCCTAAAACCCGCTAAACTTCCCAAAACCCCCAATCCTGAACCCAAGACCCCAAAACCCTAAAACGCGAACCTTCAACTTTACAGGCTCTCTAGACCCTAAAACCCTAAATCCCTAAAATGGGGTTTAGGGGTTATGCGTGATAGAGAGGTTTAGGGTTTAGGGTGTAGGGGTTTAGGGTTTAGGGGTTTAGGGGTATAGGGGTTTAGGGTTTAGGGGTTCAGGGTTTAGGGGTTTAGGGTTTAGGGGTTTGGGGTTTAGGGATCCTAAAGCTTTTAAACCTGAAGCCCCTAAGCCCTAAACCCGAAAGCTACTCTTCAACTCCCACTCCATGCCAGGCTGCCTTGGCGTTGGCTAACTTCAGCAACGCCGATGCTCTTTGTCTTTGCCTGCTTTGTATTGGGGTTATGGAAGGGTTTTTTCAAGGGTCGTAACTGAGAGGATACTAGAGGTGTTGGGCGTTTAGGACTTGGGTTTGGGGTTTAGTTAGAGTCTGGGCTATGCTTTTAGGGTTTGGATGGGTTTAGGGTTGGGGGTGTCGGATTCAGCCAGGGTGTCGATAGGGAGGAAGGTCATAGAATCCTTTTTGTACCCTAAACCCTAAACCCCAAAGCCTAAATCCTAAACTCATCCGGCCAATCGAGGGGTTGCCCTTAACCCTGAGCCCTAACTCTAAACCCCCTGAACGCTAAGCCCTAATCACTGCACCCCTCACACCTGGGAGCCAACACCTAAAGACCTGAACCCCCCAATCTTAACTCAGCAAGCCCCGAAGCTTACACACTCAGGCCTCCAAGCCCCAAATCTGTCCTTAACGGCATAATCTGGAGTTTAGGGTTTATGGTTGAGGTTTGAATCCCTAAACCCTAAACCCTAAAGAAGACATCCCGAAAGCGCCCTGATCTGCAAACCGTTTCAGATTTCGAGTTTGGTGGACTCAGCGGCAGACCCTAAGGCTCAAAATCGCCCAAAAGCCTTTCATACTGTTGATGCATGACCCAAATATAGTATAGTACCATAAACCCCAGAGTTTAGGTCTATAAGGTCATGCAGGATTTTGTGCATCAACCGTAGTATGGTCTTTGGGCCCAAAAGCCTTAAAATGTGAGTCCTTAGAGCCTTGGGGAGACCGTACAGTAGAGGAACCAAGGAGGAGGAGAAGGAAAAGGAGAGCATTTCTACGATGGGTTCGATTCGATGCCTTCACTAGTTCTCGTACAACTGGCACATCCGCGGTTAACCCCCTAAACCTAAAACCTCACTCAACGCGATTGGGAATCCAGAAACCCTAAACCCTGCAAAAAAGATCAGGGTTTAGGGATTAGAGTATTAGGGATCCCGAAACACACACCATCCTTCAGTTGATGTTAGGCCGAAAGCGGTGCATGAAGGGCCGTGGATGTTTGGAAGGAGGGCTTCGAGTTGCGATGGTGCAAGCACCGATGAACGGGTTAGGGTTTAGCCCTGAGCCAACAAATCAACACCCGGAGTCATAGGTACGATTACACATCGTCGCAGCAACAGCAGGACCAACGCTAGCGCAGAAGAGTCACACCAACATTACTGGTAGCAACCCTAAACCCCTGAACCCCTAAACTCTAAAGCCCCAACCCCTAAACCCCAAACTCAAACCCCAACCCCAAACCCAAACCCCTTAAGCCCTAAGGCCCCAAACCCTAAACCCCAAACCCAAACCCTTTAAGCCCTAAACCCTAAACCCTAAACCCTAAACCCTAAACCCTAAACCCTAAACCCCAAACCCAAACCCCTAAATCCTAAACCCTAAACCCTAAACCCTAAAACCTAAACCCTAAACCCTAAACCCTAAACCCAAACCCCCAAACCCAAACCCCTTAATTACTCCAGCAACTCAGACCTGACCCAGCGCAGTCCCCAGCCAACGGAGGCTGATTGCTCGGAGGCAGTTCTACAGCCACTTGGCTTAGGGTTTAGGGTTTATGGTTTAGGGTTTAAGGTTTACGGTTTAGGGTTCAGGGTTTAAGGTTTAGGGTTTAGGGTTTAAATGACGGGTTCAGGGTTTAGGGTTAGGATTTGGGCTCGGAGGCAGTTCTACAGCTACTTGGCGTATAGGGTTTAAAATGCGGGTTTAGGGTTTAGGGTTAGGATTTGGGTTCGGAGGCAG